ATGAGGCAGTCTCTTCTAAAATTTAGTGTCTTCGTTTATTTATTTATTTGAACATTTATTGTTGCTACAGATTTAACATTAACTTAAAATTAGGAAGTGATAATCTTATTACCAATGCACAACATTTGAAGGATATCACAGTATGCGTTGAGTCAAGAGCACTCTGTCTCACTAGTCTTATTTTAGTATCAAAATTCTTATTGTTTAGAGTTCATAGGTCAAGTTTCATGGGCGAGTATGAAGTCTCAAGTTTGCTGCTAAAACAAAGTATTATGCAAATTTACGTTTCTTAATTCTAAATTTCAAATTAATTCTAAAACCGTGTCTTTAATCTGTTCATGTCGCAGATAACAAAACGGGTTTCACACTTATCTACCTACCCCTTCAAAGATGAACAGTTCTGATATCAAATTCACCTTACAGAACAATAGACAGTCACAATCAACAGCAAGTTTTGTTGAAAACTGTACCTACGTCACGCCACGTCACGTCACAGACCCTCGTCAAGTATGACATGTGTTGCCAGCAGAAATAAAGCTGCCTCGTTACATTATTTTCTGATTGATGGCAATTATTTTAAAACGTGTTTATGGGTCTTTGAGGCTCTGTGTGTATTGGGCCTAAGTAAATATTAATTTCTAAATTGTTGTGGGATGGTTTTTGCTATCTGTTATTTATTTTAATCCTGGTTTGGTGTTTACATGACATTTATATGTGGTATGGTTAGTATTAAAATTAAATGTGTACCTAATGGGCTTGTTTAATAGTTTGTGTGTGTAACATTAGCATTTTTAAGACGACTGTAATTTTACTACCTTGTAATTGAACCTACCTACCTAGGGCCAGGTATTTCCAAGAAAAAAAATATATTGATCGAATACGAGAGCCCAGATATTTACCTACAGTGTTTAAAAAAAATATTAACTTGTATATAAATGTCATCTTTACATTAGACTACACTGACAACTTATCTCACTACTATTTTTTTGTTAAAAAATCATAGGTACTTCTAATTTTGATCAGTCTTTTACAACTTTATTATCAAACCCAAATTCCTTTTCAAAAGCCCATCAATACAAACCTACTTGGTACATTGCCAGGTGAAAGAATATTTCAATACACACATAATATCGGCAGCTATTGACCTAAAATACCCGGTTATTTGAAAACATGTCTAATACGGTCAAGGGCAATAATGAACCGGGTTTTATATCACATTTACGAGTATCATGTCGTATCATGCTGTATTTTATATAGTCATACTTTATAATGTGTACTTTTAGATGGATATTACATGTAAATATTATGTCAGTTACTAAAAGGGAAAACAGGTATTTATAGAAGATTTTTTCATTTGTTTTTCTTGTTAGACAGATTGTACATTGTATTAAAAGACAAGTTACTTACTGACGATCTCAAATAATAATTCAAAAATCCAATTCCATTACCGCACCTAAAAAAAACTAAAAAAAAACATGAATTTGTTGTGTTTTCTGACTTGGTTGTCAAATACTAGGGTGCTAACCAATCTCAAAAACAATGCAATTTCAATGCAATAAAATGTCAACAATTGTTCAATGTCAAAACTATACAACCTCTATCGAAGCTGTTAAAGTAGCATTCAGAGTACGGAATATAAAGCTAAACTTAATACCATTTAATTAATTAAATATCCACGTAATATGGATGCAACGGGCACTAGTGTTGCAAGTCAAGAGTACGAAATTTCACAATACCAATGACGGTTGGAATTGGATTCAAGAGTTTCATGACAGATAAAATGTCTCATTTCTATATATAACTATTATCAACTAATTTAATATTACTCTTGAAAAAATAAATACCTACCATTTCGTAGATATATTTATCTCAGTCCAATTGACTTGGCTGACCCGATCGTAAGACGAATTCTGCCAATCCGGCCAATTGACAGGACTATTGTTTTTTATTAATAACAAATACTCAAACCAGTGAGAATTGGAGTGTTTCTTTAAGATAAGAAATAAAAGAAAATATGTTGTTTTATTTGTTTGTTTTTTTACTGGACTTGTGACGCAAAAGAGTCTTATTGTATTTGTGACAAGCGTATAGGTATTTGGCTTTAGCAGTGAGTTCGTTTCTGTTTCTTTGAAATGAAATACGAAATAATCAAGATGTGTTAACTTTAATATTATTTACGTGCACTAACATAAAATATTGTAAGATCTGAAATTTATAATGCCCTTTGTACGTGTCTAAATAACAATATAATTGATATTAAATAAAAAATCATATTTTCTTAGCGTAGAAATGCTACTATTCTTATAGACATATTCTATAAATAACCACCCGCATAAAACAAAAAAAAAACACAATAAAATTCTACATTTCAAACAAACCAATTACATTCAAACGCGACCTACATGCTCGACAGTCAACGAGCGACTGCGCTTCCCCACTTCCGCTACCCCGTCCCCCTAACCGGATGGTGACGTCACAACGATACGGAACACTTTGTGACAACCGGCCTACTTTTGTACCGACGATAAGTTTAAATGTATCTTTTTTATGTATTTATAGGACACTTATGTAACATTGTAATGGCTTGCGATGGTGGTGACAGTTGCAGATATATTTTATCTGTGCTATTTGTGACAGATGCAGGCTTCATGGACGTGGGGTGGGTTTTGTAAAGTGTTGTGCTGAAGATAAGAACGTGTAATTAGTATATTTGTTTTAGTTTATTTCTACATCACATTTAAGAAACTTTTCTGTTAGTTCGGTTATTGTGATTGTCAAGTAGCAATTTTTGAGATATTTCTTTTTTAATTTTAACACTTTTTATCGGTAGTTTCTATCAGTACAGTGGTACAGTTTGCAAGATGTTTTGATTTGAATTTTAGAACACAAACGTGGATTCAATAAAATATAATAACATAATACTCTATGGATACCAACCACCTAAATTAAAACACTAACCAACCAGAACATCACTAAAACTTGAATAAAAAACACAACAGCTTCACATACAGGGTGCTTTAAATGAATTACCGCACCAAAGCGCCATCTAACTAAGTAACTGGACGTTAGACAAACAGTGTGCATTGCGCCTAATATCGGGTGTAGTTACTGGACAGTACACAAAGGGTTGATGTTGCTTGCATAATGTAATGCAATTGCACTTCGGATGGGGTAGCAATAGACGCTGTTTGTGTCTGTATTTTGGCAGAAAGTGCTGTTGTTTCTGATGTGATGATTGGTTGACATAGCAAGACTTATATATGTTACTTATATTAACTAGATTATAAACTTTTATTTTATAGTAACAGAAATTTGTTAAATATGGATTTTGTAGCATTCTCGCTGTTTTATATTAGAGTGGACCGCAATTCGGATTAGATATAATAAAATGCATTTCAATACTATTCGTCGTGTCGTGGTGGCCCGAAGGCTTAAGATGCCCGCTTCTAATGCATGCGGGTTTGAAACCTACCAACCAATATGACTTTTCCAAGTTTCGACTTTCTAAGATTATTTAGACACTACTGACAAACGGTGAAGGAAAACATCGTGAGGAAACCTGGGCTTATAATTTCTAATTATAAATTTGAAATCGCCAACCCGCATTCAGCAAATATGGTGATTAATGCTCAAACTTTCTCCGTGTGAGAACAGACTTTGCTCAGCAGTAGGTATATACTATAGGCTATTGGTGTGACTTCAATACTATTAAGTTTCGGTACATCCAGAGCTTGACAGGGAGACATCTTGTCTTAACCTTACAACTAAAAGAAATTATAAAATAAATATTCTCATTCTTATTTTTCTCACTCAACAGAAAACCTACCTTTCTTTCTAACTTCTTTATTCTTTACTTCAGTTAACTTCAAACAAACTGTATTTAGTTTCGAGTCTCCCGCGTTTCCTATTACCGGTACCCGCTCAGTTTCATTTCCTTGACGAGCGACACGAGCGATGCGACCGACACGAGGCGCGCTTTTTAAAATACGTGTCTAAAATTTTATATTGATGCGTTTTCGATATCTCGTATTTTGTGTAACCGTTGTTTTTTAATACGGCAATGGTCGACGATGAATGACAATTAATTAAGTATTACATAAAGTTTTGATTTGCGTATTTGTGTAGTGTAATGGGGGCTTATTGAAAATTAAAAATGGTGTAAACGGAACACCCCCAAATCGCTGACAAAAAGAAATCGTTTTTAAAAAATTATCTCCTTTTTAGTTTCATTCACCATAAGCCTAAAGCCGTTGATTACAACTTTTATTACATAAAATAAACATTCAATTCCTTATTTTTACATAAAAATAAAACTTGTTTTTTACCATCACCTGTTGCCATTTTTCTTTAACAACCTGTATAACTTCGCATTGAACGTTTTTCTTACTTTTCCGTTTTACTGTAAAATTTATTTTTGACATTACAGTTACCATTCTTTACTTAATCATTAAATATCATGGCCCTAAAACTACATACGAGGAAACACATCGAGATAATTTAGGTCACTGACAAACTTACACAATTTCGCAAAAAATAAAAATTTACATGATATTAATATCTATGAAGCGCCCTACAAAATTCCAAACGTACCTAAATTTACGACAGACGTTTGCTATCAATTTACATACATACATATAAACAAAATAAACTCAATATACTTGAAAGCCGTCAGTACCCAAATCAACAATTGTGTCAGCGTAACTATCTAATCTTGTCTCTCATCAAACAATAGTGTTTTCAATAATGACGTCACAATACTAGGAGTGACGTAACGACGTGTTTTGTTTACTAGATTGTGACGTCACAATGTGATGAAGGTTTTTGAGTATAATTAAGATGTGATGTATTGTTTGTCGGGATGTTGTAATTGATACGAATGTTCGTGTGAAATGGGCTTTATTGTAAATTGAAAAAGATTCCTGGGCGAAATATACGATATAGGAAAAAAAAATCTTTTTGAATATACTAGTATTATTAACAATTATCTCTTTTTGTTCCAGATCTCCAGTTTCCAATAGATGTATCAGGCGTTCAGAACGACCATCCGTTCTTGGACGCGGACTCCCTCCAGTCACTGTTCAGACGTCTCACAGCCCTGAACAGATGCGCCAACATGAAGTTAGAACATCATCATCATCAGAAGAGATCCGTAAGTCTTTTCTCTTTACTACTTCTTTAGGTTATCTATTTGGATAAAAAATCACATACTTTCAAGCGATAGATGATATAATGCAATAAATAAATACCATTAGTGAGCAAGGGGCGTATTTTAACTATAGGATAAGGAGGTAAATGAGCAGACGAGTCACCTAATGGTTAGCAATCGTGGTATCCCATGGACACTCGCATTACAAAAAGATGTTAGGAGTGCATTGCTGTTCTTTCGGAACCTAAGGACTTTAAATAAAAAAAAGCCTCGACACACACACACACACACACACACACATAAACATTTCTAGCACAGTTCTGGTATAGAAAATAAACAAAATAAGAAAACAACTAATCACAATCAAAACAAATCATAAACAGTAATATGAAATATACACCAATCAAAAATTAACCATAAGTAATATAAAATAAAGTCAAAATATGAAAATGCCGTAATTATGAGCATCAACAGTGTACAATAATTCCCACAGGCCACCATAATTAATGCGTATTAAATATTATTTATGAATCAATTTGTAGATAATTACATATTTTAGTCGATTGATTGTGTTAATTAAGTATTTTAATCGAATTGATCTATCAACTTTGTGATTAACATAATCACAAATGTTAAAATGTTTTAAAATGAGATGTAAGAGTCTAAAAAGTTGGATAATTGATGTTCATAGCCTAAATAATTTCTAAAGACGTCACTGAAATTAGGTTTTCATAGTTATAATGCTTATAACCATCGTGAGACATGCCGAAAAAAATTACGAGTTACTCACGAAAATATACTGAGTAGGCTGAGCGACATCGCCGCGACAGCCACATTGCCCATGAGGAAGAGTCCCTCTGTGACTCGAAACTAGTCGAGCTTTTCTTAGTATACTTTCATGCATTCTCTAAACAGATAAATATAAATCAATATTTTTAGATAGTGTTATTCGATTGAGTCTATTTCATTTTCATAATAATTAAATGAGCTCATGGTCTAACATATAAAAATCAAAGAATAAATTAATCTTTATATGTATATATAATTCTTCTGTGAGTGTGTATGTCACTGAACTTCTCTCAAACGACTGGACCGATTTTGATGAAATTTTTTGTGTGTGTTCAAGGGGATCTGGGAATGGTTTAGATTCACAAATCAGATTAGCCGGCAGATAGCACTGCAGTCGGTGTCTAGGTTAATTATCCTAAACGACTGAACTAATTTGAATGAATTTTTGTCTATACATTCAAGTTGATATGCAGGACAACGTCTGTCGGGTCCGCTAGTATTAATAATAATCTTTTAAATAACTTAAGTCATTAGCTAAAAGCAAAAAGTTAATGCAATTAACATACATTTTCCTGTATTTCCTGGATATAAAAATGCCTTTCAACATAAAATTGCAGTGATTAAACGAAATCTCATAAAAATATTATGATGTAGTCTGGTTAGTAACTAGACATTTTCTCTGGGTTTACTTAAAATTCCATTTCCGTGATTATAAAAGCATGCACGTTATATGTTCCAGTGGTTCTCAAATCTTCACAAAATAGGAGTTCTGAAACAGATTTTTGATGTGTTTAATTAACTTTTAAATTAATATTTTCCATTATTAAAAACTAAAAGGTGCAATGGAATAAAAATCGTTACTGCTTTTCTTTTTTTTATGATGTTACATACATATACCTTATCATACAATGTTGTATTACAATACGTCTAATCAATTTTTATAAAGTTAAGTAGGTACCTACCTAGTTACACACTACAATTAACCCTATCTATAATTATTACTAAAAGTATAAATTACATAATAATTACTGCTTTTCAATAACCACAGCAAACCAGTTTGATACATTCAAAATACTATTAATAGGGAACCCGCGCGCGCCGCGGTAGCGAACGGACGTGTACGGAGCGACCGCTCACCGGAGTGACTCACGCGCACGACCGATAAGCCACCGTCATAAATAAATGTGCGAAATAAAATATTGCACATCGACGCGAGTTATAGTAAACTTTATATAGTAAATTGCGGACTGTATAGGCCCCGGGGGTCTCGTAACCCCCGGCAAACGTTAGAAATAGTGTAATAATTAGTGTAAGTGAAATTAGTGTAGTGAAATAGAATCAAAACATTGAAAAATGATATCCGAAAAAAATAATTCATCTTCTGTAAACAACAGTGATATGGACACGAACCCGCCTCAATCGAGATCAGACATCGAAACAGTTAAGAAAAAAGTAACATTAGTGAAGGTAGATTTATCTGACTTTAATAAAAACATAGTGCAGTGTTGGGAATGTGAAAGTTTCTTCCAAATGGATAGCCCTTCGTGGGGCATAAATCAAATGAACACTAAAAAGATTCAATGCAAATTGTGTACAAATTTTTTTCTTATCAAGGCTGCGCTTAAAACAGAGCCAAAATATGATAACGGCACACTTAACATTGAGTCTTCAGTTTCAATATATACGGCAGGCCTGGAGACCGGTATTAAAAATATTCGCCCATGTATAAGCTGTAAAATAAAGAAAGAATTAACTACCATACCCATCGAGACCTTCATATCTGAGGAGTGGTTCATCTGCAAATGCGATAAAAACCAATGCGCATTCATTGAATTCGTTTCACAAAATGAACAACCATTGGCCGTTAGAAGGTCAAGAAAAAAGAATCACCGTGGAAGTAAATTAATTAAAAACACCGAAGAGTCTAACAAGCCTCGCGACCTGAACATCAACGCTAATGTAGGCCATCAGGGCCCACAGGTACCGCAGTATGTGCATGGAGTACGGTCAGAATTGAAGGGTGGCGTGCTGGACTCCGCCACAATCCAACAGCCTCCACCTACTCGAGTTAGTGAGCGCATGTACGTGAGTACTGTCAATAAAGATACTTCCCACACCATAAGTAAAGTACAGAGTACGTTGGACGCTTGGAAAAATCCGCGATCCACCGCACTACCACCTATCGTAAACCAGTCTATAACACAAAAACCAACGAGTGACACAGACAACGACCGCACCGAGCAAAGTAACCAATCAACGTACCAACTGGTAACTAGAGGAGCCAAAAGACAACGTACAGGCGCGTCTAATTACTTGACACCAACACAGAAAAACGCCCATATTCCCAATATTATCATCAGGGATGAAAACGCAATTAAGAACCAAAACACACTAAAGAAAATCAGAGAAACAGTAGCCAAGAACAGCTCAACGATGAACGTTATGAGAGGCCAAATAAAAATTAGTCCGAATAATATGGCAGCACGCGTGAACTTGCTAACGGAGATTGAATCTGGCGGGTTTACCAGAGTTATTGCACCAAAACCAAAAGCAGACAGGCAACCTGCTACCAAGATTGTGCTCAAAAACGAAACTTACGGAGAATCCACCGACGCTATAGCTGATGAGATAGCAGATTGCATCGGTATCAAACCAAAAGCAATCAAACCACTTGGAAGAGCAGGGAAAATACATCTCCTCCTTTTGATGGTACACACAAATCGAGAGATATCATGGAGAATTTTAAACGCTCAGAAAGAAAATTCTTTTGTGCCCCCTCCATCAAGGTTGAACCATTTAGAGAAAATCCGAAGCACATTATACAGTGTAAGAAGTGCTATGCTTTTGATCACTCGAAACAATCATGCTACGGCAAACAAGAGGAACCACAGATCATTATTACTACTCCGGAGGGCACTACAACGAAAGTCTGCAGAAATTGTAAAGAAGAAGACCACGGAGCGAACAACGCAAGCTGCCCTGTATTCAAAAAAATTATAGCCAGGCAAATTGAACAAGCAGAGGCTAAACAAACAAAGAAAGAGGAGAGAATTAAACGCTCAGTGGTAAGGCAAGGTTTAAAATACGCAGAGGTCTTAAATACACGGCAGTTTCCAATTATGAAACAAAAAGAATCAGCACAACCTCAAACCGAACAAGAACCACCTACAACTAGCAGTCTTACAATGGAGGGTCTATTTAAAATGCAGACACAAATGCAACAGACATTGATAATGTTAATGGACACTATAAATAAAATACACTCGCATATCAATATCAATGTCTGACCACGACAGTAAAATAATACAGAATCTCAAAATTTTGCACCTGAATACACAAGGATTGCGAAATAAATTCAAAGAAATAAAAGCACTTGTCGAAAAATATAGACCGGCTATAATTATATTGAATGAGTGCAAGATCGACTTTGACACGCAACCATATAATATAAAAGGATACGATAAACTCACCCATACATTGGAAAAACACTTAGCCACTGCCATGTATGTACAAAGGGGACTAAGGTGGGCAGAAACAGAAGTTACCCCAGGCTGGCACGACGAAAACAAGAAGATAGAAGGCGTCGGCATTAAACTTTTCACCAACCACGCTACTGGACAATATATCAAAATCAAAGGAATATATGTACAAATTCCAAACCAACACCATGCCAAGGAAGAATTAGAAGAGACACTAGCCGATGAGCCGTCTATTATCGTCGGTGACATGAATTTACAAATGAAAACCCTGGGTCATAGCAGGAATTCCACCCTCGGTAACATTGTAAAAAGGGCAGTGAGAAGCGGGCTTTGCTCACTTATACATGCTAATGCACCGTCCAGACCGTTCAGCCCAGGTAACACGATCCTGGATCTGGCAATAGTAACACACCAACAGTTAGAGGCTCAGGCCAAACACATAAAGAACGTTGGCTCAGATCACCTCCCCTGGTTGTTAACGGTGAAAGTAGAACATAATAGAGAAGAACACCTATCCCGTAATACAAAGAAAATCTATGTGGACGAAAAGATCACAGCAGCGTACCAGCAGACAATGTGGGTTTCTGCCACCTTAACAGAGATATCACAACAGAGGAGGATTGCGAGAAGTATGTCGAAACAATGGAAAATGCCATCGTCACTGCTCTTGACACTCATGCTCCCCTGAAAAATACAACAAGACAGGAACGTCTTCCAAAATATATAAACGACAGG